AGCTAGTATAAAATCTCTAGCTTTAGCATAATAAAGAAGCTAGTATAAAATCTTGTATATTCTAGAGCAGAAATATAAAGTTGTTTGTTACATCTGTACGTTAGGGACACGGTGACTCAGTAAAGTAAAAGTGACACATGTGGTTCTGTATTGCACATTCTGACATCATTAAAATGATTGCACAGATACACGACATGTGAGGTCAGGTCGGCAGTGTTCGTTAGTCCTTGTTGTACCGTCTGACAGCAGCAGGAAGGAAAAAACGTGACATTGATGTTCCAGCTTCTTTCCATGAGCTGAAAACAAAATGACCTCCTGCTGTGTGTGTTTTACTGTCTTCTGCGCTTCGTTGGTTTATGGATGGAAGGAATATTTCATTTCAATATTTCATTTTTCATTATTATTTTTGTTAGCTGAATCAGTGAAATCTCTGACAAACAAACAGCAGAGATATTAGAGACGTGTGTAGAATGTAGAGAAAGTACTTGAAGAGAAAGAACTTGCACATTCCTCCAGCAGCAGCAGCTTTTGTTACACAATACACATGTAATAGTATCCATACCCTACAGTACTCCTACTTTGGAAGGTGATCACAATACTTTTTATACTTTACAACAGTTTAGAAAGCAATTGGAAAGTGTCAAATGTTTAAAACCAGAACATGTGACATTTTTACAGCGTCTACATAGTTTAGCATTTAGTTAATAACTTACTCTTTTACGTATTTAATGTTAATTCAGATTTCTTTGACAACACATTATATTTTAAACAACATGGATTGAGACTACTCAAGTCATCATTAAAGGGCCCTAATCTGTCAAAAGGCATTAATAAACCATGCTCTTTTCCAATATTTCTATAACTGATAACAATAATTCAGTGGAGATATTAAAAATCTTGTAATTAGTTTCATTTCCATGTCCCGCCCTCCATCGTTTCACTAATCAGCAGAAAGTCTGTAATCCGTGTTGCCAGAACTCACTCCATCCATCCATTTTCTTCCCCTTAATCCATTTCTGGGTCGGGGGGTGGCAGTCAGAGCTGCACCCAGTACACAGAGCACCAGCCCCTCACTGATCCTCCTGCAGGTGGTGAGTCCACAGGAGCTGAGATCTTTCAGTGGGGGCTTCAGGCAAAGTGGGGTTAAGTGTCTTGCCCAAGGACACAACAACAGCAGTCATCAGTGGGAGTCGTGAAGCAGGTCTTACGGTGGGATCGAACCCACGACCTTCAGGCCCAAAGGCCAATGCTCTACCAACTGAGCTACTGTCGCCAGAACTCACTGCATCGAGCTAATCCCACTGGTAAAGTAACATGTGGCCACAGAACTAAAAACGGTCTCGTTATGAATTGACAATTACAACAAAAACATGGAATAAAATAGGAATTTCCATCAGGGCCTTTGTGAAAAAGGTGTTGGTTCTAGATTTGTTGTTGACAAAACAACAACAAATAGATATTATTCAGATATTATGGCCCCAGCTGGATGCATCTGTATATCTGGCAACCTGAGTCAGGGAGAGTGGGAGAGTTTGCATTACCACTTTTGGCCACATTCTATTTTTTTTTTTTTTTTTGGACTGGTTAAGATAACTTTGGATACAGCAAAAAGCAGTTTGCTGAAAAGTTAATTAAGAGATAAAATGCTAACAGGAAGCATTAAACAGTATGTTGCTATGGTAACTAGTACAGGCTCTTCTCTAGGGGAAAACATTCAGATTCAGATTCATTTATTTGCCATTTGCAGTGAATCCACATTGGAAAAACTGTGCAAGACTGTGCCCCAGACAGAGAAGACGGCACACACCAGAGCTCTTGCCTCATTCAAAAATAAAAGATAATTTAATACAAATACTGATATAGAATAAAACTACATGTAGAAATAGAAAAAGGCACAACATTAGAAAGATCAAAAAGACACATAGGTTTAGTAATTGCACTTCCAAAACTAGAACAATGAGAGAAAAACTAAACCAGGACTGAAGCCTGTGATCAGTGTGTTGTGTTCAGGAGCCTGCAGCAGTGTAGAAATGTGCACGTCCCAAAGGCCAACTGGTCCGACTGGTTTCACACGACACTGTCAATACACACACACGCACACACGCACCACTTTGGACGTGCATTGGACCTTCAACAACACCAAATCCTATCTTTTGTAATAGAAGGTGTGTGAAAAGCCTCCTAACACCGGCTATGAGATCCTAAGTATGTAAGGCAAGTTTATTTGTAGAGCACAGTTCACACACAAGGCAACTCAAAGTGCTGAACAAACATCTGAAATGCTGCCTCCCCACGTTTAGTCCTGACCATAGACTGTATATATTAACGGACAGAGTCACGCCTATCTCCGCCGTTCTAACTAATGGGCCAAAAAATGTGCTCTACTGGAGCTATCCAAAATGGCCGTGAGTGGTCCCGCCCATAAGAAAATTGTGAAAAAACGCATCTGCGCATGCGTCAGCCGGTGCAACTCCATTCATTTGAACGAGAGACTTCAAAAATTCACAGCAAGTAAACTAGAGTGGACCAAAAAAATCCACCCCCCTCAGCATTGACACACATGTGGAACGGAGCTTTGGGCCAAGAGCCAACTTTTGGTCCATCCTGTAAAGACGTTTTTGAGAGGTCTGCCAATGCTATATGTTAGCATTGGCTAATTCTACTTCTGGGTCCACCCCCATCGGCCCGGGGTGGTATTGCAGCATGTCAGCGCACGTCATTTTGGCCACTTTTGAGCTGGGACCCTCCCCCACTGGTCCTGACTCTGGGAATTTGCAGGAGGCCAGTCCCTGTGCTCCTCAGAGTCCCGGCAGGAGGCCAGTCCCTGTGCTCCTCAGAGTCCCGGCAGGAGGCCAGTCCGTGCTCCTCAGAGTCCCGGCAGGAGGCCAGTCCCTGTGCTCCTCAGAGTCCCGGCAGGAGGCCAGTCCCTGTGCTCCTCAGAGTCCCGGCAGGAGGCCAGTCCCTGTGCTCCTCAGAGTCCCGGCAGGAGGCCAGTCCCTGTGCTCCTCAGAGTCCCGGCAGGAGGCCAGTCCCTGTGCTCCTCAGAGTCCCGGCAGGAGGCCAGTCCCTGTGCTCCTCAGAGTCCCGGCAGGAGGCCAGTCCCTGTGCTCCTCAGAGTCCCGGCAGGAGGCCAGTCCCTGTGCTCCTCAGAGTCCCAGCAGGAGGCCAGTCCCTGTGCTCCTCAGAGTTGGTTCATATAGAATACCATTTCACCCAGCGTCATTCAGCCAACTTCAGATTTATCATTTGAACATACTGGTATTTATCATCGAGTCACACTATTATGTAGATAGCGCTAACATCGCTGGTGGAAGGTAAACAATAGTCATAGAGCCAACTTCATCTCCGTCATAATATAGATAGATAGAGACTTTATATATATCCCTGTACAGGAGATATTCAGGTGTGCAGAAGCAGCAAAAAAAAGCTATTAATAGTAATAATAAGCAACAGCCGTTCAGGTCACAGCAGCAGAGGATGTATAAAAATGGACTCCTCATTCCTCATGAACAGCCTGAATCCAGTCAAAACAGTTCCAGGTATCGGCCCCTGGACAACTCTGATGAACTAAAGTGGGACAGGGGTGACCAAAAAAAGTTTGTTCACCCCCAGTATAGACACTGCAAATACTATATACATGTAAAAATGTATACATACAAATATATACTTCTTGCACTAGAATATACAGTACTTTATACCTGCACTTTTTTAGTAAAGCATTATTGTTCATTTCTCTTGTGTTGTGTGCTCCTCATTCCTACTCTTCTGTAACCGGTCATGCAACACTGACATTTCCGTAGGACGAATAAAGGATCTCTTCATGTTTTCACTGTAAACAAGACTCTCAGTGTTTGTCGGAGGCACATGCGACAAACACTGAGACCATCGCGGCTCCTGATTTTCTATTATTATCATAAACTTTCTGCATTTACAATTCAATGTATTTTTGTATCGCCCTAAACCACAGCATTCGTTATCCCAGAGAACTTTACAAAGCTGTCGATTAAACCAACACAGATCAGAGAATCAAACACAGGAAATGCAATGATAAAAAACACATACAAAAAAACACATTCTTTAATCCACGACACAGAATAGGTTCCAGACTCGATGCACCACACGTCACAGTGAAATATGGAACATAAATTGATAACTATAGCTGTTTTTTATGATGATGTTGGTAAAAATCTTGGTAAAGTGTGAAAATTGTTATGTGAAAATGTATATCTTTTTGCGGTCGCTTAAATGAAGTATTGATAATGGGGAAGGCACCTATATACGCTTTTTTGTTTCTGCCTTCTCCTTTTGACCTTTTCTTATATGCGTCTGTCAAAAATACATTGTAAAACTGATCAAATAATAATACTGCCTTTACTTTGAGCCATTGGTCCATAAGAGGCAGATGACCACTGTCCATAAATGTTGATAAATGTCCTGGATCCACGTGTGTGAATCTGACTTGGACATTGGCAACACAGATTCAGTTTGATAATATTAAAATCTATTGGTATCTTTCTGACATTAAACACAAGTCCAGACTTTGAAACAAACAGAGAAGGCCACGCCCTCAGCCCTCACGCTGACAGTAACACCGTGATCTCCACATGTCTCTGTCAGAATGTGGTCTCACTGGTTTGTTATCGGATCAGAGTCACATCACGCTCTGCTGAACAACAATAGATTCGTTCTTCATTCGAGGTTGTTTTATATTCTGGTAAATAATGAGCCAATAGTTTAGCAGAATACTGTCATTTAAACAAAAATTGGTGGATTGTACCTGGTTGCCTCATTCTGCTCTATGATTGGATAATTTGCTTGAAAACTTTGAAAACAAAAATGATGTAATTGTGTTTTTGATTAAGAATTACTTCACTTTAAACTTGTGGTGTTCTCAGAGGTCTCCCATCACAGTACTAACCAGGCAGCACCCTGCTTAGCTTCAGAGGTCTGACAGGACACACAGAGATCTAACAGTGTCTCTCTCTCCAGGTGCAGAGACCATGAGTGACTCCAGAGACAGAGCCCGCGAGGAGAGACCTCCTCCTCAGCAGAACGTCAAGCCCAAGTTCAGCGGGCGCCAGGAGCCGCGCTCTACGGACAAACCCAAGCCTCGCCGCTCGCGCAGCATCGACTCTGTGCGCGACCGCGGCCGCAGACGAGAGCGCCACGCGCCGGGAGAACACAGACGTGGCCGCAGTGAAGAGGCGCGTGGACGCAAACACGGCGAGAAACCAAAGAAGTACGTCCCTGAGGACAGCGTGGACGACACGGAGTGCGCCATCTGCTTCTGCTCCTACGACAACAACTTCAAGACGCCCAAGCTGCTGAGCTGCGGCCACACCTTCTGCCTGGAGTGCCTGGCGCGCATCAACGTCCTGTCGGCGGAGCTGAAGAGCCTGCCGTGCCCCGTGTGCCGCGAGGTCACGCAGATCCCGCACGGACAGGACCTGCCGCGGCTCGGCACCAACCAGGACGTGGTGCGCAGGCTGCCGCCGCAGATGCAGCGGGTGCTGTCCATACGGTTCAAGCGCAGCAAGGGGAAGCTAATGCTAAAGACGCAGACGCCGATGGGCTCGGTCAAAGCTGCGTCACCGGTGAAAGAAAAGCCGCAGGTGGACGTGGAGGCGGCGCGCACCGTTGTGGACGTGGGGCGGCCTCCCAGCCGGGTGCACGGGCGGCTGCGGAGGCGGTTTCGCTCGGATCGCTGCTACTGCGCAGTGTTAGCATCTGTGCTCACCGTCACCGTGGTTCTGATGCTCATTGGGATCCTGGCGTTCATCATCGTCCCCAGTGTGTCCAGGCACCGAAGGCCCGGCGGTCACCAAGGCAACTTCACCGGCGCCGGGGACTCGCCTTGAGGGACTTTTATCAGTGTATAAGCTTTGTTCTGCAGATCTGGAAATGTGTTTTTAAGCTTCACCCATGTGTTACCCCTCGGCCCGCACCAAAGTACTCAGTTTGGCCATTTTGTTTTCCAGATTTGGGATGTCTCCGCAGATTTGGGACATTCAAGATTCGATAGTATTGCAATATTTGGGCCACTATTCAATATTACTGCGATTCTTAACATGTCGCGATACAGACAGTATTGTGATTTTTCCCTCATATTCAAAGACATTACAGAAATGGAGGAAAATAAGACTCAACTCAAATGTCACATTCATTATGGTCTCTACATTAAGTGAAGTACAAACACTTAGGTAGTTAAAAAACTGGAGAAAACAAAAGAGAAACAGATAATTATTTAATTAAACATCGCAATGCTTTGCTCTACTGCTTAATCGCATGCACAAAATATTGCAATACTGAATAGAATCTTTTTTTCCGCACCTGCGCTCCACACTAAACTATAGTCAAAAATGTATTCAAACTGGTGAAATATTCTAGGTCCCAAACAAAATTCATTATTCAAGCCACAAATACGACAACAATTACTATTTAAAATTAGCTTCCGAAAAACCTCCTTTGCATTTTGTATTTGCATCAGTCTGAATGAAGACCAATGCACTTTTAGCACATGGAGTGTTCCATTAAAGGGACGGTATGTTCATGTTACTGACATCCACATACATTATATTTGACCCCAGACACACGTCACAATACTTCTTTAACTGTAGTTCAGAGATAATCGAATTTCAAAATTAGTTTTACAGCCCCTAAATCTTGTTTTCATTTTTATGTCCCGCCCTCCACCGTTTCACCAATCAGAAAGTCCGTGAACCAGGTTGCCAGAACTCAGTGCGCCAAGCTAATCTCACTGGTAAAGTAATATGTGGCCGCAGAACTAAAAAAGGTCTCATTATGATTCTCAAATCATTAACGACAAAACAATTAGTAAAACCAGGATTAATCTTGGGGCCTTTGAGACAAAGGTGTTGGTTTTAGATTTGTTGTTGACAAAACTTGTCTATTCAGATATTTCAGATATTATGGTCCCAGCTGAATCAGCAGTTGCCCATATCTGGCAACCTGAGTCAATAAGAGTGGGAGAGGTTGCAGTACCACTTTTGTCCATAAAAAAAAACATACTTTGTAAACTTCTTGCCTCCAGTGTGAAGCTGTTTTGTGGGTGAATGAATGAAGGAAGCAGCCTCTCCTCTCTGTATGTGGGCTAAAGCTAGTTTTATGTGAATCCTAAATAGATATTCTGACTGCACTGGACTCTGTGATGAAGGACTCTCTGTTGCACAGATTTGATCGGTTTGCTTCAAGTGCCAAACTTAGATTTAGACCACTTAGACCACTTTGTGCACTTTTGTCGAGTATTGACATGTGTGTTATCTGTTTGTATGTATCACTGTAAATAGGAAATATGGAATTTATATTTGTAAAGTCAATAAAGTTTTGTGAAAAAAAAAGATGATCGAAATGTGCCATTTTCTTTTGCTGCTTCTTGTTCAGGACTCCCTGGAAAAAGAGGTTTTAATCTCAATGGAACTTTTCCTGGTTAAATAAAGGTTAACTAAGAAATAAATAAAAACAATCACAGACCAGCACTTTTCAAATAATAATAACAATAATGCATCGGTTTTATACAACGCTTTTTTTGGACACTGTCTTTATTCTTTCTCTCCAAACCTGTGCTCAAAAATGTCTAAAATGACGTGCGCTGACATGCTGCAATACCACGCTGGGCCAGTGGGGGTGGACCCCAAATAAGAATTAGCCAATGCTAACATATAGCATTAGCTGACCTCTCAAAAATGTCTTTACAGGATGGTCCAAAAGTCGGCTCTTGGCCAGTTCCTGTCGAAGTTGAGGGGAGTGTATTTTTTGGACCACTCTAGTTTAGTCGCTGTGGAATTACTTTAATTGAATGGAGCTCTAGCAGCTGACGCATGCGCATATGCGTTTTTTCACATTTTCCTGCCCCCGCGGCCATTTGGAAAAGCAGCATAGAAGGCGAAAGTAATGGTACATAAGTTTGAACGGCAGAAATATGATAATATTTACAGTATATTCTCCGAACACAGTGGTGATAAACTACTACTGTAGCCGCAGCTGCCCTGGGGCGCACTGACAGAAGTGAGGCAACCACCAACCATTCAAACACACACACCACACTCATTCTAATGTGGATGAAGTGTCTTGCCGAAGGACACAACCGCAGTTCGGCACATTAGATCCGCAGCCGCTCCCCTTCCCAGAGGTCTCCCATCACAGGACTGGAAAGTGTTGTGGTCAATTTCTCCACACCGAGATGGAGCAGGTCGCCTACAGGAGGAGCAGGCCAGACGAATTGTACATGTTTTTTGTGGTTCGGAAAACCGGAGGAAACCTGCGCAGACACGGGGGAACATGCAAACATGCAGGACCTTCTTGCTGTGGACCACTGTCAGTGCAATCATAGCATCGTTGCCAGAATGTGGTGCCCCGTTCACATTATGATGATTGGGTTTAAGAATTATAGAAACAACATTGAACATGATTTTGCTTTGTTTTTGTGTTGTTTTTAGACCTAGCGTCCATGGAAGAGAAGGTCTGGCGTTCCCATGGGCCCTCCCTGTGTGCTGTGTAGATGAAATAAAAAAAAAAAAAGTCTCAGAAAACCTACACAGAATACATACATTATAATAACGCTCATAAACACATACTGTAAATAATGGATTTTACCACAACTCAATATTTATTCTGACAATGTTCAAATCCAGGATAAAATCAGTTCTGTTTATCTGTGCTACAACCAAGGGATTTTTATATATCTTCTTTCGTCACTGTTTCTGTCTAGTTTTGTTCAACACTTTTAGTTGTGAATGAACTGTGCCATGCAAATTATCTTGCCTTGTTATTGTGAGGGACTTATGTTGTGCCAGTGTGTTCGGTGTCTCGCTTCTGTCTTTCTGGAGAGAATGAAACAAAGTCTGAACTCTGAACATTGTAAAGCGATTTGGGTGAACTTGATCTGTATAAATGTTCTATGTAATTAAAGATTACTTAATTACTTACATCAGAAAGAAAAGCTCAAAGAGTTAAAGACATTGTTTTTTTCCTCTAAAACGTACTAATACAGTACTACATAACTACAATAACAAGTGGAAACGCAGCTCCTCTGTGTCGTGTCTCCGATTGTCCACTAGAGGGAGCCAAGCGCACGTTTACTCACTGTTTACTTCAAGCTATGTGAAGAGGTCAGTTGCAAAAACAGATATTTGTCAAAAGAGTTGCATTTCTCTGGTTCCAATATATTTAGTTATTGGCAGTAAATTAGAAAGGATTTGCTCAAGAAGGGCTAAAACTTTATTTGTGCGGCACTCAAATATATCTGGAGAGGAAAGACCAGAGGAAGGGGGTTGTTCTGGTCTGGTCTGAAGCCTCGGGGCTGTTTACCTTTGAAGAGAATGGTGCTCACTTCCTCTCTGCCCACAGGCTCCAGACCAGAGCCAGAGCCAGACTAGACCCAGACCAGTCCTAGACCAGATCCAGACCAGTCCCAGACCCAAATCATCCCCCATAATAAAAAAGTGGTATTTAATATATGTGAACTTTAGATAACAAAATAGATGTGTACATATTTTATTGGGACAACACATGACAAACACATTCACAGACACAAAGCGACTCAAGATAGAAACAATCTCACAAGATAACGACATAAATAACGACGGACACAACATCAATTAATTAAATGTAATATATGTGTGGGTGTTGTATGTATCTACAGTGTGACCAAAAATATTTATATTTAATGAAATAGGATAAAGGGGAAGATGAACAACAGAGATATTTATGGTAATATTCCTAGAAAAATAAGGTATGTAATTGTGTGTCTCAGTGTGTGTGTGTGTGTGTCTCAGAGTGTGTCTCAGTGTGTGTGTGTGTGCGTGTGTCTCAATGTGTGTTTGTGTGTGTGCCTCTCTCACAGTGTGTAGGTGTGTCTGTCTCAGTGCGTGAGTGTCTCTCTCAGTGTGTGTAGGTGTGTGTGTCTCTCTCAGTGTGTGTAGGTGTGTGTGTCTCAGTGTGTGTGTGTCTCTGTGTGTAGGTGTTTGTGTCTCTCTCACAGTGTGTAGGTGTGTGTGTCTCAGTGTGTGTAGGTGTGTGTGTCTCAGTGCGTGTGTGTCTCTCTCAGTGTGTGTGTGTCTGTGTCTCAGTGTGTGTTTGTCTCAGTGTGTGTAGGTATGCGTGTAGGTGTGTGTGTGTGTGTCTCTCTCTCAGTGTGTGTAGGTGTGTGTGTCTCAGTGTGTGTGTGTCTTAGTGTGTCTCAGTGTGTGTGTGTATGTCTCACTGTATGTGAGGACTCGGACTCTCTGGACTCTCTGTGGCCCCTGGGAACCTCCTGGATCAGAGCCGGACTAATGACTGTGTGGGACTAATCAGAGGCCCCTGCAGTCTCACATTAACAGGACTCTTGTTATTAGCACTCTGCTCACAACGAAAAGGTCCGCCCTGTGTCCGTCTGAAACCCCTCTCATTCAGCTGCAGTTTCTGACAGTTCTGTTCTGTCTCAGTGGATTTACTTTATTGATTCTTTCGTAGCAGCTGGTAATAATCGGATTATTACCAGCATCAGCATTGACACACATGTGGAACGGAGCTTTGGGCCAAGAGCCAACTTTTGGACCATCCTGTAAAGGTGTTTTCGAGAGGTAAGAAGATGCTATATGTTAGCATTGGCTAATTCTTATTCCGGGTCCACCCCCATCGGCTCGGGGGGGTATTGCAAGCATGTCAGCGCACGACATTTTGGCCACTTTTGAGCCGGGACCCGTCCCCACTGATAAAATCTCACTTTTGAGCCTAAAAACGTCTGTGTGGCGCCCTCTCAACCTTTTTGGTGGTACTACATTTGAATTTGGTCCTGGCCTCTCCATTGACTCTGTAATACTGTAGCCGGGTATCTGCTAAACCGCAGATATTTTTC